GACCCGAGATCCAGATGTGCTGGCTCTCTTGGTTCCTGGATCCTGGACAATGGAGGTAGATTGAGCAGAGTTCTCCAGAGAACACCACTGGACTGAACTACACCTTTCCTGGACCCTCTAACCAGTCCCTTTACTTGTAAGTTACCCCACAAAATAAACCTCCCTTTTAACTACATGGAGTTGCCTTAATACTTCCACCAGTAGTGGACACCACACATAAGTAACATTTTAGAAGATGAGAATGATAAAAACTAATTTCATCAGAAGTTTAAATGTTAATTAAGTTTAAATGAATAGATTTTGAAATATTAATGACCCTAAAATAGATTATCTACATCTGAGTTATAAATCATAAAAATATACAATAAATAAGTGGTTATAAGTTATTCTGCAGACTAAACTTTTCTCAGGGACCAGGATGGAGAGACACGTGCTTAAGGAACAGTGACAATAATGACTTCAACAATGTTGATGGTAACAGCTATTTCTTTCAGGAGGCACTAGGCAAAAGTATTTGCATACTTTTATCAGCATAAGTTTTAGATAATTTCATAAGCCTTATCTACTTTTATTTTATATGTATGCGTGCTTTGTTGCCATGTAAGTTCACTATGTACCTCTAGTGCCCATGGAGGCCAGATAATAGCATAGGATCCCCTAACTAGAGTTACAGGTAGTTGATAGCTGCCTTTTGGTGTTGGGAATCAAATATCATTCCTCTGTGAGAGCAGCAAGTGCTCTTCACAACCCAATTCGACAGCCCACTTCTTAGTTGATTTTTTTAAACAAAAATGGAGATCAAGAGGTATGGATATGAATTATAGGTAAGGAAATAATTCAAATGATGACAAATAATGGCATTCATCACAACATACTAAAAGTAAACTTTTATTGGGGAATAACTAGTTCATACAAACTATTAGTTTTGACAAAAGTTGATTAATGTTATCAGGGAGAGAAACAGAAGGGCAAAGGTAACCCCCTGAATTTGAGTATTCCCATCACTATATTAGTTTCTGGAGGTCAAAGGGCAGCTCTGGTCTTGATCCACTGGTCAGTGCTTGTAGGGATAAACATAACTCTCACAGGATCCCAGGAGAACTACAAATACCAAAGCCTTCAGAGTCAGGAGAGGAGAATCCTCCAGACTAGCTTGAAGTTGCTCTTCTTCATTCTCTAACATATCTTTAACCATGACAGACCTTCCTAGGATACATTTCACATGTAAGTTTTTGATGACACTTGTATTATATAACAAAATAAAGTCCAACATATACTGATAAACATGTGTACTTGAACATTTATTGTCATTTTTATATTCAGAAAAGTATATATATATATATATATATATATATATATATATATATATATATATGTTTATACATACAGCGTACAGTGTGTGTGCACACTCACATGGCATAAATGTTTATTGAGGAATGGATAGGGGCAATCAGTCCTTAGCTGCACCTTTCCTCATAGCAGCTGACTGTTGTTCAGTTCCTCCCACTATTCTTGGCATGGATGTACATACCTACCATCTTGATGATCATGAGGGCACACTTGAAGATCCTGAGCAGCTCCATGGTGTATTACTCAAAGCAACACACATCACATCATGTCCCACATGAACTTGGTGTGTTAGCTGACGCTCTCTCTGTGCAAGCTTGTGATAATTCATCTACATCTTGTGGCCCTTTTGAGACCTGTAGCCATGACGTGCTTCAAAGCCATGGCTGTCGGTCTCCAATGGTGGCTGTGACTATTTGGGTTTTTAGAATTTATTCACATAGCTCATAGTAATTTGGCTGCTATTTTTTTTGTTTTTAGAATTTATCTGCACACACGGTAATTTTAAAACAGTAATTTCTGAATGAAGAATTGTGAATCCCAGTTTTATTTTGCTGTGGGAATTTCTAATCTCTTAAAGATATTCAAGAACATGAAAATGTTGAATACATATAAAATTAAAGTGCAAAGTTATGTAGGCTGTAATAACAGATCATGCAATGTTTGAGAAAGACACATCAGAGACAGGCAGACATAACCACTTAGATCGCTATTTAGTTTTCTTTGAATCAGTCCTAAAGGAAACATAGAAATCCCTTGCAAGTGTATTATATAAGCATCATGGATGTTCTTATCAAAAAAGAATTTCCAGTTCTAGTATTTTATCAATTTAATGTAGAAAATGCAAAGACAATAGTTCATTATTCATTTTCTACTTAACGTAATTGTACCTTTGGCCAATTGAACCTTGCCTAATAAAACATGATACTAGAAGCAAACAAATGATAGGCCACCAAAAACAAGTTCAAATATACTAAGTTCAGTATTATGATATATAATATATTAATGTTAAACACTGATAGTCCCAGTTACTGAATATATCTCTAATTATATAGGTTTATTTATTTTTCATTTGTAGAAAAGAAAAACAGTGCATGTAAATGTGATGCTATGTAATTATTTTCTGATATAAAACATTTATTTACTATAAAGTCATTACTAATTGCCTCCAATTTTGCCATCTGTAATTATGCTAATATAGTGAATAAAGTGTACTCTGAAGTATTAATTTTATATCTGTTTTTCAATTGGATGGTTTTTGCATGCATTAATTTATGACTTAGATGCATCTCTCAATTCCGCATGCATAAATATTGTGCAATTTGCTTATTTGACTTTGCTCATTTAAAGTTAATGAATTAAAATTTCAACTCCTTTGCCAGAGCCAGACTCTACCCTATGAAGCTTCTAATAGCTATTTCTAATAGTTTATTTATAATAGTTTCTGTGACATGCCATGTAATATTTTAATATTTCTATAGCATCTTCTGAATAAAGATATTAATCACTATTCCTAGAAAATTCTTGTTAATCTGTGTGTGCATAGAATGCCTTTATATGCATGTAACTATCTAATGCACGTCCGTGACATCAAATATAACTTGTGAAATGGTTCAGCTCAGCAGTTGAGTATATTTGAAGATGTCAATATGGCATCAATGTTATAAAAGATCTATAACTCAAAGGTCACTGAGGCTTAAAGTGTGCCCAAGTCTCTTGAAGATAGATTTAAGTGCAGAGGTAGGTAAACCTGGAAGTCAAATTTCTCAACACATTGGCCTCCATGTTTTGACTCTCAGTTGAGTTACTGTGCTGCAATGACTAAACGCAAACATAGAAGTTTAGGCTGAAAATAGACAACAAAACATTCAAGTGAATACCACCTTCTCAAATAATATTCACCAAGTCAAGATGATGACCAAAGTCTTCAGTGTTCACCTCAATATCGTCTTTAAACTTTGTAAGAAAAGATAGTTGATTTTAAAAAGATCAATGATTTTAACTGGTTGTGGTTTTCCATTTGCTGCAAACAAAAGTTTTCTTAATTAGGGGTGAAAACTACCTTGTCTATAAGGACAAATGTTGATAGATTGTTGTTAGGGATTATGTTGGGTTGGTAAATTAGCGGTTATAGGTTCTCCTCCAATTGCCATGAATTCACTATTACTGAGTAGTTAGCTAAGTTTCCAGTACCAGGAATTGTTTCCCTGCTCTTAAGTGCATCTCATTCCAATTAGAGAACTAATGATTAACGTGGAGGTGTGTGTGTGTCACTACTGTACCCTTAGGGTTATATTGTCATGCTGTAGGTTGATATGCTCCATAGGCATCAAAGCTGGGTAGGACTGTTGGTTGCCTCTCTCCTTTGGAAGCTTTATACCTCCTGGTACAATGAAAGCTAGTCCTCAAAGACAGGGTGTCCAGTTCCAACTCAGGGGTCTCTGGGGCCTGTTTGTGAAGTATATAGTGTCCACAGCAATAGGGACATACCTTCCATCTCTGAGGAGAACCAAAGTCAAAGGCAATAGGTTGTTTTGTGAAAGAGGAGATGACAAAATTCTAAGATCTAGAGAATCAGGGAGTTGCTGTGAGATTGTGTCTCATTGTAATATCAGAAAACACACTCATGACGTCTCAGCAACATTACTACTCAAACATGAGCTGAACAGGAACTATACCAAATGACATGCCAACATGAATGAGAAAAGCCCACAAAACAAAGAACTATAGGCAACCGAGGAAAGCTGGGAGAGGTGGTCTACCCCAGGGAATAACAGTGTCAAATGGTCTGTCCTGAAAACATACATATAGACTGAACAGGTTGTATATATATATATATATATATATATATATATATATATATATATATATATATATATATATATATATATAAAACAATTAGTAAAAAGAGGCCATGAATTTGAAGGAGAATGGTGAGGGGCATATTGGAGGGATTCCTCTTTCTACTTTGAATCAAACTTTGGAGTAGTTAAGTTGCTTACTTTAGAGTAGTTAAGTTCCTTACAGTTCAATAAATATGGAAAATTAATTATTAAAACTTCATTATGGAAAACAAATCCATTGAAAGAGTTATTATAAAATGGATTAAAATTCATTGTTATTAAAGGGTAAGAAGATAACTACCCTAAAATCTATGAAATGTGAAATAGTTAAAGATTTACAAGTGATAGATGCTTTAGAACCCACAAAGAGGTAGCAATGTGAGTTCTGTGGTCTGCACTGTGAAAAGATGTGAGTCATTTGGGCCCCATTTATTGAGCATATACTACATGCCCATTGAAGTGAATGACAAATCTTCACCCAAGTAAAGATCAAAGAAGACATTGCCTCCCCTGTGACTATATCAGGTGTTTTTTATTTGGCTAAGTGCATACACTATATTAAAACATCCTTAAACATTTAGAAATAATAGGCATGGCCATTTAATATACTCTGGAAATATTCAGTGCAATCAGGGATTTTTTTGAAAATGATAACATCTTAAAAGTGTTCATTCGGATGTAAAACCTGCAGCTGAGACGAACAAGCTGAACAATATGTGTTTTTCTTTTATGTTTATAAAAAAAATTATATATATGTGAATGGTGTTCTGCATTCCCAGCTTCATTTTCAAACCTCCCCTCTGACTGCAGGAGCTGAGGCTGTGGAGGCGCAGTGTAAAAGATTTGAAGTAAGAGCAAGCGAAGATGGCAGGGTGCTGTTCTCTGCAGATGAAGACGAGATAACTATTGGGGCTGAGAAGCTAAAGGTTACAGGTACTGTCATGGAGATCTTTGAATGTGGTTTACCTAACGTAAGCATACGCCATTGCCTGGAAGGTCCTTGGCAGGATTTCTGGCTTCCTTCCTCAAAATTGAGTCTCCCATATGATAATACACACACACACACACACACACACACACACACACACACACACACACACATATATATATATATATATATATATATATATATATATGTATACTTTTCAAATAACTTCAATTAAAGTCATCAGCTGGGTCACTCAGATAAACTAAGAAAAATAGGTTAGGTGGTATGAAGTGATATGAGTAAAGGTAATAAATCTAGAAGTGTTATATACATTGTTCCAAGGAGAAAAATCTTTTTGTGAATGGCTTCCCTGTATGTGAACCCTCCCTGTTTACACAGCCTTCTCCCTCCAACACACAGAGAAACAAACAGACAGAGACACATACAAATTCACACTAAATCTGTCCTCCTTTACCAGGATAGCATGTTTTAACTTCAGAACTGCTTCACTCTTGTCTATGACACTCCTAAAATGAAAATATCAAAGACGAATATAGTTTATAATTTCACACACATAGGAGAGAAAATTGAACAAAGCATAGACTGCATTATGAAGGCAAGGGATTGGCTGGTCCCCTCACATATACTTTAAAGCAAGACCCCAGTCTTTTGATAAATAACACTACAAAGAGACACTGACTCCAGGGTGAGCCTTATAAATTAGGTAACTATTCAAAGTACCTGTGACAAAAGATCCGTATGAATTGTAAATTAGTGGCATGAAAGTTTTCCCATTCAAGCAATATCCTTAGGAATTAAAATTAGGATGAATCCCTTCTCACTTTCTTTCACTTTATGAATAACAACTTTTTTGAGGGACTCTTGTTTTAGAAGGAAGAGGATGATTTATACAATGGCTGAGACCAAATCACAGTGCTAATAGATTTTAGCATATTTATATTTAGCCTACTTAGAATACAGGTGGGTACAAATTAGAGATCACACCATAATCTGAACATCACTGCCTCAGTTTTCCATTACTGCAACAAAATACACGATGACAAAACAATCTAACTAACTATTTAACACCAATTTGAGAGAAGCAAAGAATCTGGACCCTTGTTGCAGAGATTTGGCAGCCCGTGTTTGCATTTGAACAGCTCCAATCGTTTTAAGCCAGAGGTCCTGAAGAGCCTCACAGCAAAAAGGGTGTTAAATATAAGTCCTGCCCAGTGCAGATGAGAAACAAAGTCATGAAGAGAAAGAGTGTCAGAATGAAAATGTATCCCTCAAAGTCATTTCTATTGTGATCTGTAGCCAGCCAGGCTCCACATACCTTCAAATTCTTCTATCAATTAATCCATGAGGAATATAGAGCACTTAAAGGATCAGCTTTCAGCCAGCCTTTAACACATAAACAATCAGGGTGAAATTTGAGATTCAAGCCATAATAAGCAATATCGTCACTCTATTGCCATAATAGATAATCACTTACTCAAGAATCGTAACTGGACTCCTGAAGCTCGGCCTGGTGCTTGGCTGTGGATCTCTCCATCTGCTTTCATCAGTTACTGGATGAAGGCTCTATGATGACAGTTAGGGTATTCACCAATCTGATAAGCCAGCTCAGGCACCCTCTCCACTATTACTAGTAACCTGGGGCCATTCTTGTGGATTCCTGGGAACTTCCCTAGCACCAGGTTTCTTGGAACCCCATGATGTCTCCCTCTATCAAGATACCTCTTTCATTGCTCTCACACTCTGTCCCTGTTCCAGCTTGACCATCCCTTTCCCTTATGTTCTCATCCCCCATCCCCTACCCTCTATTGCCCCCCATCACCCCCAGCTTACTCAGGAGATCTCATCTATTTCCTCTTCCCAGGGTGACCCATGCCTCTCTCTTAGGGTCCTCCTTGTTAGCTAGCTTCTGTGGAGCTTTGGATTGTAGTCTGGTTATCCTTGGCTTTACATCAGTGGCATCAAGATCATAATGGGGAAACCTACAGAAACAACAGAACCTAGCTAGTGAGAACTCATGAGCTTTAGACCAACAGCTGTGGAGCCTGCATGGGACTGGACTAGGCCCTCTGCATAAATGAGACAGTTGTGTAGCTTGGTCTGCTTAAGGGGCCCCCTGGCAGTAGGATCAGGATGTATTCCTGGTGCATGAGCTGGCTTTATGGAGCCCATTACTTATGGTGGGCCACCTTGCACAGCCTTGGTGCAAGAGGAGGGTCTTGGTCCTGCTTCAACTGAATGCACCAGCTTTGCTGATTCCCCAACCTTTTCAGGAGAAGGAATGAGGGGTGGGTTGGGAGGAGAAGGCTTGGGGCAGAACAGAAGGAAAGAAGAGAGAGAGATCTGTGGTTGGTATGTAAAATGAATAAAAACTTCTTAGTAAAAAAAAGGGGGGGGAGAATCATAATTAAGGTGTTCTCGGATGGATTAGCTGTTCTTGGTAGGAATTTGCTTAAAATAACTAAAATGTGTATTTGTTCTTAATATTCCTTAACATTCCTTGATAAAAAGGAGTTTTAGACTTTATTTCAAATCTACATCCTTTACAATTCTGTTTGTTTTGTATTCCCTACTATGAACTCAAGATATCGCCTAATGCAATTATCTTCTGAGACCCAGTAAGAACATAAAGGACAGAAACTTTTCTATAGAGGAGACTCAAGTTCAGTGCTTTCAGGCTGCATCCATCAAATACAATCAGCACTTTCACTTGGAGTCCACGTACCATAGAAACCTAGCAAACAAAGAGAAGGTTAAACGATAAGTCTGACTTTGGGAGGTGAAAGTCTTCAAGTTAAAGGAAAACTATTAATTGGACACAGACATTTGTTTTGCGTTGGCAGAAAGCAGACATTAGGGAAGTGTATGAGAAGAAAGTATCTCTCTTTTCCCCAAATAGCAGCAATTAAAAGTGGCAGTCTGTAAGAATAGAGAAATCCAACTGCATGTCCCCTATGCCCTCCTGTTTGTTGGAAAGCCAAGAGCATCTCACCTCCGTGTGCTTCTAATGGAATGATTGGAAGGATAGACAGGTTCCAGTGCTTGTTTGACAACACAAGAAAGGATTTTCTGAGGAGCTGTCTTTTAAATTAAACAGGGTGCTGCTGGGTTGGAATCAATATTTCCTAGTTTGTTTTTATTACCTGGCTTCTACTTCCCCATTCTTGTCCATTACACTAGCCTACTGTGATGAGGTCAGCTTTACAATCAGCTTTTCTTAAGGTAGGGCTTTTGTTCCTCAGAGCTGTCCAAATGCTGAGACCGCAATAACACTCAGACACCAGGAAAAAGCAGTTTGTCTGAAAAGCTGCTGGAGAACTGACTAAGTCAGGTGAAGAAAAGTGATGTATGGTCCCTTAATTTCCCCTAGTGACACTATTCAGGTTTATACACTTGATGTAATCACTCAACTCAGCTTTCTAGTTGTTTCTTTTTTTTTTTTTTTTTTTTGGTTTTTCGAGACAGGGTTTCTCTGTGTAGCTTTGCGCCTTTCCTGGAACTCACTTGGTAGCCCAGGCTGGCCTCGAACTCACAGAGATCCGCCTGGCTCTGCCTCCCGAGTGCTGGGATTAAAGGCGTGCGCCACCACCGCCCGGCCTCTAGTTGTTTCTTAAATTTCCTGGTGATGGGGACTTCAGAGACATGAGGAAACACTGTTTTATGCTCCTATGAATTTCTAAATGGAAATTGAGTTCCGGTTTTGAAGTACATATGCAAGTCACAGCCATTATCACAAATAAGCTGTTTTATCAGAGGTCTTTGCTAGCAGACGTTTCCATCACTTATTTTTATCCAAGGTCTCAAGGAAATGTTCCTTATTTCTTACTCTGTTAAAGCAAATATTGAAAATACAACTGCATAATGTGAAGTATGAAGATATTCATAATGAAAGGCAATGTGCTTCCAAACACTAACCACAGACAGAAAACTACAGGCAACAAAGGAATGCTGGGAATGTGATAAATAGTCTACTCTAGTGAAGACCCATCTCTCCAAGTTAATTATAAGCCCCGAAATCATATACACGTAAAAAACTTTATAAGGATGATCAGGTTGTATTTATATACTTGGAAGTATATATATATATATATATATATATATATATATATATATATATGTGTGTGTGTGTGTGTGTGTGTGTGTGTGTGTGTGTGTATGTGTGTGTGTGTGTGTGTACATATTGTATTATATTGATGTATATTATTTTATTCATATATATTACATTGATACAGCTCAACAATTAAAGTAATAGAGACCACAAATTTAAGACAAAGCAAAGAGGGGTTCATGGGAAGGGTTGGAGGGAGGAAAGGGAAGGGGAAATTTATATAATTGTACTTTAATTCCAAATTTTAAAACTTTATGTTTTAAAGGGAACATCTCTGTTCAGTGCAGTCAACGGATTCCATTTGATGCTCAACGTTCTTCTTTGTGTTAGAGCTAGGAAAATTCTTAGAGATATAATTAATGTTGCAGTAGCATAAATGAACTGTCCGATTTCTTATGCATTGCAGATTTAGTGGGCATTTTTGCAATATCTTTCTTTCCTTACTTGCTGTGGGTAAGAGAATGATGGCTATGGCTCCTAGAAGATGCCTCTGCTTCTTACACACTCCAGTGGATCCTACCTGTAGGCAGAGTGTCTTCAACCTCTTCCCAATGTGGGTTTCTTCAGCTTCGTTTCTGTTATGTTTTTCTCATTTCATTTTCTTCCATCAGCTGGGAAATGTCCCCATTTAATGATTCATATGTTGGTACCATAGTTAAGTTTCTATTATTGTGATAAAACACCATGACCAAAAGCCACTTGAAAGGAAAGGTTTATTCCATCTTATATTTTGTAGTCCATCATCCAGTGAAGTTGGGGCAGAAACTCAAGGCAGGAACCTGTAAGCAGGAACTGATGCTGAAGCCATGGAGAAATGTTCTTTATTGTCTTGCTCTCCATGACTTGCTCAACTTAACATTCTTATAGCACCCAGAGCCA